AGGTTCCTATTTCTCTGCCCCCTCACCCCCCAGCCACTGCCCTCCCTGGCTCAGACACTCACACCCCCTACTCCCCAGAGCCCAGGAATCCAGGGGAGTAGAAGTGGGACTAGGAACAGTACAATCATGGACAGTCACAGTAACTGCTCATCAGCATTAGTGGAGGATGTACAATTAAGATGTAGATTTCAAAGCTAGTGGACACTATCCACGTTGTTAGGGTATTAGATTTTTACTTGAATTTGAAAGAACTTATAGTCTTAGTTTAGGCTTGGACAGGCGGTGACCGTAACATTTTAATTTGTATGAAAGCAAAGACATACTACACATAAAACCAAGTGACATACTAAACCAGGGGTCTCAAACACGCAGCCTGCAGAGTTATTTGATGCGGCTGCCAAGCTCCTGTCACCCCACCCCCCCCAGCACGCCGCGTCCCTGCTCCTCTGCCTACCTCCAGGCACTTCTCGCCGCCAAACAGCTGTTTGGCAGTGCTTAGCGCTTTCCAGGAGGATGGGGCGGGAGGAACGGGGAGCCACACGCTCAGAGAAGGAGGTGGAGAAGAGGCAGGACAGGGGCAGGAATTTGGGGAAGGGGTTGGAATAGGGGCAGGGAGAGGGCAGAGTTGGGGTGGGGCCAGGGAAGGGGTGGGAAGAGGCAGGGCAGGGCCTCATGGAAGTGGTGGAGTGGGGGCGGGCCGGGGACAGAGGTGGGGGCTTTTGTTTCTTTATATGAAAAAGTGTCAGTGATGCGGCCCTCGGGCCAATGTACTAGTCCTCCCATGGCCCTCGTGGTGATCTGAGTTTGAGATCCCTGTACTAAACACAAGTATAAAAAGAATCCACACAAAGTAGTCCAAACCAGAACAACCAGAATGCAGAGAGATGTCATTCAACAATCACAGCAGTGACAATAGTTCATTTTAATTTCCTTGACAGAATAAAAACACAGCCAAGTAATTGGGACGATCATGTTTTCTTTTCAAATAATCACACACCACCTTTCTCTACTCATATGGAGTAGCATTTTATTGGACAGTCCCACACCTCCACTCTGCTATTATTACCCTCTTTATCCACTTCCCCTATAAGGGGGTGTATTTTTTCCTCTAACCAACTTATGTATGCCTTGCAGCCTACTTTGGTCATTCATGCAACTCCACTCCTTCCCTCACTGAATTCCCAAAAACTCACCTATACATTAAGATGCACAGCATATGATTTGAGAAAATTCTTAAAAAAAAAAAAACCTTAAAGAACACCAGAGACAACCAAGATGTGCTCATGCTTAAACTGAGCAAACACATGACCATATCTGGAACCCTAGTCATTCCTTGTCCCATCCACATCCTACTTTTGGTCACCCTTTCGTGTCACATCCAAAAATCGAATTAGGGACTGAATTTTGTCTTCTGTGATGCTCCATGCTCAATTCCGGGTCCTATAATAACAATAAACACTATCTTTGGTACACTGCTGATATTAGCAGAAAAGCCACATCAGAAAGAGGCATTTTTTGAGAAATATTAAGTAAGTGCACAAGGAGGTTTACCTTTTCTTGAAATAATTATATTTGGGAATTATGGTTTGGCTCACTTTGATCTGAGTCCTATAGTACATGACTCATGTCTTCCATTTACAGATGTTCTGTTCCCAAAACACAATTTACAACTGATTATTTTTTATATATATTTTGTCTTACACCAAATCAGAAAGCACATTTTTCAAGAGTTTTGTGAATTTGTTATTTATTCCCATGATGGATGTTCTACTGCATGCTCCAAGGAAGATTACAAGATGAATTTTATTCACTTCTGTTAATGAATCAAAATGACTCTATTCTCATTGTCTAAATCCATATTTGCTCAGTATTTGAAAACATCTCCATTCACTCAATCATAGAACTGGAAGGGACTTCGAGAGGTCATCTAGTCCAGTCCCCTACACTCAAGGCAGGACTAAGTATTATCTAGACAAGGCCTGCACAACTTGTAAAGCAGCAAGGGCCATATTACTCCAAAGAAAACATCTGAAGGCCAAAACCCACCAGCCCCCCCAGAGCACACACACCCCCCTCCCCCCGCAGAAACAAACCTTCCTTCCCCAGCACCGCCCCGCCAAAACAGTAGTATTGAACCTTGGTAATGTGTTATAATGGGCCCCTAAAGTAGTATAATTAAGGTAAAAGAAAAATGTCTTTTTGCTAGAGGTAGAATAAGATCTTCCCCCCACTTTGTAATCAATTGCCCTGTTGAATAAATGAGGTGTGAATGAGGAAGGCATGCACCTCCAGACAGCTGCAACCCTTGGAGAGGGGATGGGAGCCAGACCAAGGACAATCAAACTTGTCAAGTGGGCTGACTAGATAAGAACAGACATACGGATAGCCTCAGGGGTTAGAAGCAAGCACCTTCCTTTGGGAACACCCTCTTTGCAGCATTGGGACAACCCCCCGCCCAGAGAAAAGCAGCAAAAAGGACCAATTTTTATGAGACACAAGATCAGTAGAAGAGGTCAGCCACCAACTCGCTGCTTGCCTCCCCCCCCCCGGAAGTATAAAGCCCCCCCACTCACTCAGCTCATCATCTCCCCCTGCTCGCCTCCTCAGTCCACCCTCCACGGCTAGCCCACCTTCCTGTCCACTGCAGGCTCGCCTGCTCCCCCCACCCCCCCTCGCCACTCCCCGCCGCCAGCTCATCTGCCTGCCCGCCGCCAGCCTCTTACTTTCTGCCACTGCCCCTGCCTCACCCTCACTCCCCAGCCTGCCACTGGCCTCTTCACCACCCCACCCACCCACCGGCCATTGGCTTGCCCCATCCCAACGCTTGCCTACTCACCCCCTGCAGGCCGCACAGTGAGCCCATGTGGGCCACATGCGGCCCGTATGTTGTGCAGGCCTGCCTTAGAATCATGAACGCTACCATTTCATGATCACTTTCGCCCAATTTGCCTTCCCCTTTCAAATTCTCAACCCGTTCCTCCTTATCTGTCAAAATCAAATCTAGAACAGCCTCCCCCCAGTAGCTTTCTCCACCTTCTGAAATAAAAAGTTGTCTCCAATTCATTCCAAGAACTTATTGGATAATCTGCACCCTGCTGTGTTATTTTCTAAACAGTGTCTGGGTAACTGAAGCTCCCCCCCCAATCCTGTGCTTCGCATGATTTTGTTATTTGTTTAAAAAAAGCCTCATCCACCTCTTCCTCCTGGTTTGGTGGTCTGTAGTAGACCCCTACCATGACATGTTTTTTTACCCCTTGTTTTTTATACCCCTTTTATCTTTACCCAGAGACTTTCAACAAGTCTGTCTCTTATTTCTAGCTCAACCTCAGTCCAAGTGTAGACATTTTTAATATACAAGGCAACACCTCTTTCCTTTTCTCCATCTCACTCTATAGCAGAATCATACACATTTTAATTCTAGTTTGTTGGTAAAGATGCCAACTACTCAAAAGGAATTCACAAAAAGCACAGTAGAATCCCTTCTGCCTACATAATACTGGCAATGTATTCTAGTGGAATGTCACACCGTTTTTTAACTGCATCCGAAGAAGTGGGTTTTTTAGCCACAAGAGCTTATGCCCAAATAAATCTGTTAGTCTTTAAAGGTGCCACCGGACTCCTCGTTGTTTTTACAGTTATTGAGCATGTACAGTATGCCATCTTCAACCATGAAATGAAAATATATTTAAAAAGTTACCTTTTAAAATGGCGAACTGTTCTAGATGTATGTCAAAGCAGTTTCTTATTTCATCCCATTAATTTAAACCAAAACAGGGTATTTAACATGCCCAAATCAATTTTTTCTCTCTCTGGCTTAGATTTTCAATGGAAGACTCATCAAGAAATGAGTCTGCAGTAATGTGTAGCCAATGGTAGGCATATTCCTCAAAGGAAAAATCAAGTCAAACTCCATTGACTTCAAAGTTGGACCCATATACATAACTCATCTGTAAATATAGCTATCCATCACTTTTACTAACTAAATCTAAGATATGAGAGCTTGAAAAATCCATTCATTTACTCAACATTGAAAGTAAAGATTTCTGTGGTCAATGAAAAGTCCTGGGCCATCAATTAATAAAGAATTTTAGCTCTTGTAAAACAAGATTCTAGTCCCCATAGGTGTGAAAATCACATCTGTAACCTTCCAAATATGAAGCAAAAGTCTTCCAGTCTATATCTACAATGCTACATTTAGGAGCTGTGAATCACCAGTTTCAGCTCCACTGCAGGTAGTAACAGTGAAGGCTGTAGTGTAGATGGGATTCAAGTGCTTTATCACAGTGCCATGACAGAATCGAATAAAAGTAACCTTATTGCTGCTGTTGCAGCTCCATTTTCAAGTCCTAATTTTTCTAGTTTTTTAGTTTTACATACTCATTCCATAAAAAACACAACAAACAAAAAACACCCATCCCAGGGCAGAGGTTCTCAAATCTGCAGACACACAATCACAATATTGTCAGTTACTGCTCAGAGCTCTGCCAAGCAGCAGCACAGCCAAGCACATGGGAATCTCTGATCAACTTTACTTTTGCAATGAAGAAAATTGTGGACAACAGCAAAGCTAACAAAGAATGTCAATTTAACTCAGCAGCTTCTACCTTGGGGAAACCTGAGCATCAGCAACACTGGGTGGCTGTCTCCCCACACCTAGGTGGCTGTCTTCCCCACCCCCTGGTCTTTCACATCAGCCTTTAGCTGGCAGCTTTAGCACTCTGGCTAGCAGGTATACATTAAACCCGTGCTATTCTCCGCCCTTCCTGAACCCGCCTTTTCTCCCTGACAGGCTCCTCACTTGGGAGAGCCGACAATCCCGGGGATCGATCCCTCCGGTTCCACCCGCCCAGTCCCCCAGGGCAACACCCCACCAGGCAGCGCTACGGCGAGGCTAAGTACCACCCACGGGCACGGGGGATCCTGCAGTTGCGCCTTCGCACCCCCATCGCCCCCCTCCCCACTGCCGCGGGTAGATCTCCCCCGGGCGGCCCGCCACTCACTTGCCCTCCTGGCAGTCGTAGAGCACGATGGAGTCGTCGTCGCTGCTGGAGATGACGGTCTCGCCGTTGGGGCTGAAGTCGAAGCAGTTTATCTTGTCCGAGTTCTCGCGGAAGACCTTGGCCACGCGGAAGCTCCGCAGCACGTTGTCCGTTAGCTTCATGCCGCGACGGATGGGGCGGCGCGAGCGGGGCCTAAGGAGCCGGCCGGGGCCCAGCTGGAGCCGGGCACGGAGGACGCCGGTGAACGTGAGGAGCCGGGCGGCGGCCTAGAGCCCGCGGGGCCTGCGAGGCAGCGGAAAAGGGAAGCCGGGCGGGGGCCTGAAGCGCGCGGGTCTCGGGCAGGGGCCGCGCGTCGCTGGCAGGCGGCTTCGGCACGGGCGGGCAGCGCCCTCAGGCGGGGTCGGCTCAGGCTGCGGAGAGGCGGCTCCTGCTCATTGTGTCCGCCATCTTCCTGCTACAGGGACAGACCCTGCCGCTCACGGGGGAAGAAGTGGGCCGGCAGCAGGGCATTGTGGGGCGGACGAGGGGGGGATCGGGTGAGAGAGCGGAGGAGCAGCGCATTGTGGGATTGGTGAAGCGCGAGGGCTGGAGAGGGGCAGTGCATTGTGGGATGCCAAAGGGGAGGGGGCACGCGGAGAGGGAAGTGAAGGTGCAGTGCATTGTGGGATAGCGGAGGGGGACGTCACCCACCGCCGGCTAGACCTGGCGGCCATTTTGTGTGTGGCAGCGGGCCCTGCTTTTTCCCCGGCAGCCGCTAGGCCCGGGCTACTAAGCCCCCTTTCGGCCCCATAAACTAAGCTACCAAGCCCCCCCACCCCCACCCCTTATAGCTAGCCTATCAAGCTTGCCTTTCCGTCTCAGCTGCTCAGTCCCCTTCCTGCCCCATAAATTAGGGTCCAAGCCCCTGCCCCAGGCACGCTACAAACTAGGCCACCAAAGTCCCAACCCTGGGCCACTAAGCCCCCTTCCTTCCTCATAAGCTGGGCCACCAACCTCCCCCCCCCCCACTCCCTACATATTGGACCACTAAGGCCAACTACTACCCCACAACCCTGGGCCACAGGGCTCCTGGCCCACCCCAGACCCTCAAGCGAGTCACTTCACAGCCCCATCCACCAAGCCTCCCATCTCTTCCACCAGCAGGAGTTGGTTAAATAGAGGCTATTACCTCAGCCACCTTGTCTCTGGAACTCAGGAGTCAGACATGTTTGCTGCCTTGGAAAAGACACGTGGGCTCCATATTCAAATGTAGCCACTGGTTTTGGGGGGCCTGGATGAAGTCAGTGGGAGCTGTGGAGGCTTAGCACTCTAGAAATTAATGCCCTGGGGTCTGAAGTCACAAACTCATAGCCATTTTTTCCTAAAGAAGGGTGCCTAGTTCTGAACCTCAGTTTCCATCTCTGTAAAATGGGCCTAATGATAGCAATTCACCTTTGTAAAGCACTGTGAGATCTACAGCTGAAAAGGACAAGGGGTTATACTTTAAATTAGTGCTCAGTTTAATTTGTAATCTACCCTAGTTACAGTGGGGTTGTATGCCTGGTAATTTGGTAAAATTCAGACATATCAGTCTGCTTTTATTTTCCAACTAACGATTTAAGGGGGGATGGGGGGGAGACTTCAAACTCCTGTCCTAATGTCATTCTTGCTTACCTTAGGGTAACAGGTAAAGGAAAGGAGGTTTCACACTATTGGCATGATGTCATTTCCAGCCGCCATGTTGGAAGCTGGCAAGACTGCAGCAGGAAGTTTCTTCTGAAGATAGGATGTTCCCTATCGTTGACTTATATGTACAGAATCTTCTGGGCTATTGTATCTCTGTGATCTTCACAGACTAATGGCTTGATTCACTCTATTTACCTTCCTTCTCCTTTACAAAAAAATATAGAGAGCATTTGCCTCTTTCCTAGGGCCTGAGCCAAAGCCCATTGTGGACTTGGATAATGCTCCTAGTGCTTCCATGACAGTCATGATGCAACATAGTGATGCCATGGAAAAACAAAATCACTTCTTAATGTAATGTGCTCATCATGTGACATACTCAAGATGTGATGACACTTTTCTGGCCTGACACACTTTTTAGGACATGCAAAATGGTGTTGCAATCAAGATGTGTGATTGTGTGGGTAAAATAGCTGCAAAATTAGAACTGTTTGCACTGGCAACTCCAAACACTGAAAGAGCTGCTCAAACTGTCCAGAAAACCACAAAGAAATCTTTGTCTACACAGAAAACATATATTCTGAGTTTTAGGAATTTCATCCCCATCGTTTTCTTGACTGTGGTCATTTGTGTGTAAACCAGGCAATTGCAGTGTGATTCAGACCCACAACCTTTATCACACTCTCAGCAGGGCTATTTAAATATAGTTACAAACGTAGGACTGCTTCCTCTTCCAGTCTTCTTCCATCATCTCTAAAATAAGTAGAACCTCATTCTAATCTCTCCCCAGTTCTATGTTAATGCAAGTCCATCGATTTCAGGAGTTACTCCTGGTTTTTACCAGCATGAGACCAGAATCAAGCCTTTAGAAAAATATAAAATAGAAACAGTACAACTTTCTAATCCCGAACATTGGAAGCAGGAAATAGAAGAGTCTTTTTAATCACATTAAATACTCTTATTGTGTTGACTTCAGCTAGAAGTTTCAGAGTGGAGTGTATTAGGAGTTTCAAAGGGAGAGAGTTGACTAGAAGTCTAAAGGAGGATTATTATTTATTATTTGTATTGCAGTAGCAAGTAGTGGCCTTGGTTATGGATTAGGTTCCCACTGTGCTTGGCACTGTACAAATGACAAAGAGGCCCCATCCCAAAGATCTTACAATGTAAGTATAAAGAGGAAACTGTCAGCCAAGACAGTATTTATTTCCCATCTGCAGGCCTTTTATTACAATATTGTTAGTTAACTAATGTAGAAGCGATGCTGATGTCACAGAGATTTTTGACTATAGGGGGATGAGCAGCAGGAGTAAAAAAGGAACCTTTAAGAAGCAAAAATCTAAGCTTCATGTAAATATCTCTATAAACAGTACGCCGGAAGATACATGTCAGCAGGAAAATGGTTTCAACTGGAACGTTTTTTCAGAGATTTCCATGAGGCAGCAGCACTTTAACAGCAAATCCTCTATGTGTTTGCAATAGGACTGTGTATTTAAAGCCCAAAATACAGCCAATTACTTTGGGGTTTGTATGTGGTTTATGTTCTTTTGATATTTCGGGAAGATATTCAGGTGGCATAACAATAGGTCATAGGTTCTCAACTTTTGTCTTTCTGAGCCCCTCCCTCCCCCCACATGTTATTAAAGCTCTGGGGTCAGGGGCCCTCAGGGCTTTAGCTGCAGAGAGGCCTTGGGGTTCTGGGCTTCAGCCCGCAGGTGGGTGGGGCACTCAGGCTTCAGCCGCAGGGTACCAGGGCTCTGAGCTTTCTGCCCTGGTTTGCAGACCCCCGCTTGAAAACCACTGTGTAACAGGGTTCATGATCCACCCCTCTTCCTGGGGCCCGCTTAGTCTCCACAATAAGGCTCAGAGAGGCTTCAGGGTTGTGCAACACCCATGTCTTTATTTACTTAAGGTGATCCCAAGCTTTACAGGAAGAGTCAGCCTTCAGCTAGGAGGTATCCAGCTTCCTGACTAATTGACTTTTCCCTTACTGCCCCATGCCTTTATATAGGGTTACCATACGTCCGGTTTTTCCTGGACATGTCCGGTTTTGGTTATCAAACCCCCGTCCGGGGGGAATTGCCAAAAAGCCGAACATGTCCGGGAAAAATACCGACCGGGCACTTCCCCTCCCGGGCTCCAGCTGCTCTGCTCCTCCCCTGACTCTTCAGCTCCCCTGACTCTTCAGCTCTGTTTAAGAGCCGAGCTGCCTGAGCGCTCCGGCTTCAGGCAGCCTCCTTGCCTCTGGACTCCGCTTCGCCGGCCGGGCACTTCCCCTCCTGGGCTCCAGCTGCTGTGCTCCGGCGGCGCAGGGTCCGGAGGCAAGGGGGCTGCCCGAAGCCGGAGCGCTCGGGCAGCTTAGCTCTTAAACAGAGCCGAAGAGTCAGGGGAGGAGCAGAGCAGCTGGAGCCCGGGAGGGGAAGTCCCGGCCGGCGGCTCGGGGTCCAGAGGCATGGGGGCTGCCCGAAGCCCGAACGCTACCGGCTTCACGGTTTGCCGGGCAGCCTCCAGACCCTGCGCCCCTGGCTGGGCGC